CAGCATTGCTCACACTAGAATAAAAGACACAGAGGACCTGGGAACGGGGGTGGGTGGAAGAGTTGGCTTGAGTAGGAGAATCTAGGGTGGGTTTTGCAGTTCTGAATTGGGTTCCTGAGAACTCCCAGCCAACGTGGGGTTTGAAGATGCCTTCTCCCCTTAACAACATCTCCAAAAGATGGCGGATCAACAGGAGAAAAGTCTAGATTCCTATATAAGAAGAGAAAGATTTCTCTAAATGCAATGAAGCCTGCACAACTCTCTGCCCACTAATGGAGCTATGTTTAATTTTCCTTCTACTTCTGAATAATGGCCAAAGGCAAAGGAGGAAAGGGGATTCAGCAGTCCCTGATGTCCCTTCACTCCTGGGCTACACAAAAGACCTGGCTGAAGTTCTGGAATGACCACTGCCCTGTACCTGGAGCCTGTATACATCTCTACATGGGATGCCTCACAGGACTCTCCAAGCAGGAGGGAAGCAGAGTGACTTGTCTTCCTATCTAAGAAACTGACTTAGTTGCCTTAAGGAAATCAAGGTCCAAGAAACTTCTGAAGATTCACATTGCAGGACTAATTTCCACTGCTTTTTTGTGATAACCCTTTCCCTTAAAGGTGCAAGACTTCTCTCTCTAAATCTGTGGTTCTCAAAAAGGGGTGATTTTGGCTTCCAGGGGACATTTAGCAATGTCTGGAGACATTGTGGGGGCTCCCCTGATGGCTCAGCGGGTAAAGAATCCTCCTGCAATGCAGGAAAACACAGGTTCAATTCCTGGGTTGGGAAGATTGTCTGGAGGAAGAAATGGCAGCCCATTCCAGTATTCTTACCTGGGGAATCCCATGAACAGAGGAGCCTGGTGGGCTACAGTCAAAAGTGTCACAAAAAGTCAGACACAACTAAGCAATTAAGACATCTTTGGTTGTCACAATATCAGAGAGGAGTGGGGGAAATGCTGCTGGGCATCTAGTGGGTAGATGCCAGGGATGCCACTAAACATCCTACAATGCAAAAGATAACTCCCTACAAGAAAGAAATATCCAGCTCCAAATACCAGTAGTGCTGCTATTGAGAAACTCCGCTCCAAAGGCTTAGAAAAGAAATGAGATTTCGCATCATCTGTGACCAGTACTCATCATGCTACCATTCTCATGTCACTCCTGAATTTTACTTTTAAAATTCACCAGCTGATCTTCCTACAAATCACTCCCAAGAAGCAGATTAATAATAATCATGGCATTTACTGAGTTCATACTATGTGCCAGGTTCTGGGAAAATGAGTTTATATACTTTATCTCATTTTTTGTCACCATTTTTCAGAAGAGAAAACTGAGGTTCAGGGCAATTAAGTTGGAGATGTACACGAAGCTTAAATTCACTGAGGTGGGAATCAGTGCAGAGCTCAAGTTTCTGATCTTTAACTCAATGCCTTTCTATGAAAAACAACAGTGTGCATTCAATTTATTGAACAATTCCTTTATACTCAGAATTCTATTTTTCATCATAAGAATTTTTCATCTTCTGACAAAAAGTATTTGTTAAATACCTAAAACTCTGTACTTATGGCCATCCATCACTTGGAGCAAACTTGATAGACGGATTTTGAAACACATGTATTTGTAAAACTCCCTCCTTTCCCCAAAGAAGAAAAGCTAGGTCTTTTATATGTTTTAGTCTCAAATTTAAAGACTCTATCTTGGGATGTCTGTATTTAAAAGAAAGAAAGAAAAAAGCACCATTTTGTAACATTCACAAGAGCAGATTGAATTTTCTTACTCATGTGCCAGTCTCCTTCTCTGTCCTCTGTGTTCCTTTCCTACTGCTGCAGAACAAATTAAAGCAAACTTAGCAACTTAAGACAATACCTATTAATTATCTCACAGTTCTGTAAGTCAGAAGTTCTGTAAGTCCAAAATCAGTTATGCATAGCCAAGGCATAACTGACTTCTCTGCTCAGGCTCTCCCAAGGCTGAAATCATGGCATCAAGTCAGGCTAAGTTCTCTGCAGGCTCTGCAGAAGAGTTACTTTCAAGCTCATTGAGGTTGCTGCAATTGTTAAGACTAAAGTCTCACTTGCTGGCAGATGGTCAGGGATTGACCATCTACACTCCTCTCCAATGAAGCAGCTCCCTCCATCATCAACGCTGTTAGGAACAAATCTCACTTGATGATGAATCTGCTTCATGGTTTGAATCTCCAAGAAAAGCCCAGTCCCCTGTAAGGGCCCATGTGATTACATGAGGCCCACCAAGGACAAGCTCCCCATCTTAAGGTCTATTGATTTGACTCCTTAGTTACATGAGCAGAATCCCTCACAGCAGTACCTAGATTCATGTTTGTTTGAATAGCTGGGAGAACGTCTATGTATAGCAAGAATCTTGGTTTACAAGGAATCTTGAAGGTCATCTTAGAACCCTTCCTAGTTCTGTCTGTAAACTCGCTGATGGCAAAATCTGGGTCTTGTGCATCTTTGTCTGGTACTCAAGAGATGCTCCATGAATGTTCACTGAACTGAATTGTTTTAAAGGGATTGAGAAATTACTGAAGTCATGAAATTGTTATATATATATGCGTTAATTTCCAGGTAAGGACAACTCCCATCAGGAAAAAGATCAAATAAGATGCAATGCCCCAGTAGCCTTTAGGGTGATCTCTATCATGACCTCTTCCTCTATCAAAAGATTAAGTGGACTTTCTACTTTCACTATGGGAATGCAGCTTTGATTTCATTAAGGGAGGTCAGGGGGAAAAGAATTCCTATCCCAGAAATGGGCAAGAGAAACAACTTTCCAGAATTGAATCAATTCTGTTGAGTAAAAGGTGTTTTCAGTGAGTTCAAGGTGTCATGAGCTTCCTTGCCTAGTCTGCTAGCTCTTTGAGAGTGGAATTACATAATATTTATATTAAAAAAACTAAGATCGTGGCATCTGGTCCCATCACTTCATGGCAGATAGATAGGGAAACAATGGAAACAGTGGCAGATTTTATTTTCTTGGGTTCCAAAATCACTGCAGATGGTGACTGCAGCCATGAAATTCAAAGATGCTTGTTCCTTGAACAATAAGCTATGACAAACCTAGACAGCATATTAAAAAGCAGAGACATCACTTTCCCAACAAAGGTCTGTATAAGTTACAGCTATGGTTTTTCCAGTAGTCATGTATGGATGTGAGAGCTGGACCAAAAAGAAAGCTGAGTGCCAAAGAATTGATGCTTTCAAACTGCGGTGCTGAGGAAGACTCTTGAGAGTCCCTTGGACAGCAAGGAGATCAAACCAGTTAACCCTAAAGAAACTCAACCCTGAATATTCATTGGAAGGACTGATGCTAAAGCTGAAACTCCAATACTTTGGCCACCTGATGTGAAGAGCTGACTCATGAGAAAAGACCCTGCTGCTGGGAAAGATTGAGGGCAGGAGGAGGAGAAGAGGGCGATAGAAGATGAGATGGTTGGATAGCATCACATAATCAATGGACCTGAGTTTGAGCAAACTCCCGGAGATAGTGCAGGCCAGGGAAGCCTGACATGCTGCAGTCCATGGGGTTACAAAGAGTCAGATACTAGCGACTGAACAACAATACATTTATATCCCTAGAACTAGCATGAGGCTTGCTTCAGAAGACCAACTTTAAAGATAAAAGCTGACTGAATGTTTGTATTATGGAATGAATGCTATTTGGCCTGTCTCTGCTAGTACTTAGTCACTTCCTGTGGGCCAGGGCTCTGTCCAATACATTTTCTGCAATCCAGCAATGCCTGTCTGGTCCCGGCAGCCATTGAACATTCAACAGGTGCAATGGTTGGACCTTGTACTCTTGTTTTAAAATGTAGTTTCTCCTCTCCTAAATTAGCAGTTGGTCATTTTCGGTTTTACAGTATGAATGTAAGGTGATTACTATTCAATCTAGATTTGTGGTTGTTCAGTCGCTCAGTCGTGTCTGACTCATTGCGACCCCATTGCAGCACACCAGGCTTCCCCGTCTTTTACCACCTCCCGGAGCTTGCTCAAACTCATGTCCATTGAATCGGGGGTCCCATCCAATCATCTCGTCCTCTGTTGTCCCCTTCTCCTGCCTTCAGTCTAGACTTATGAGGCTTATTTTTAGAAATACTCAGCTTTATGTTAATGCCAAAAAAAAAAAAAAATCCAAAATCCATAAACTTTCATCTTCCTTTTCAAACGGACATTCATTTCAGTGCCTAGTAAATGTATTTATGGAAAACATTTCTTTACATCATTCAGATGACAGAGTTGTGATTTCTGAAAAAGATAAGCTCTGTTTCCCTTTGGTTTTCTCAGCTCCTCCATTCCTAGCCTCAGACAGGGTACACGTTATCTGCAGTTCTGTGAATTTCTCTACACTTCAGTCTCATTGGGAAAAATGCTTCCCCGACCTTCAAACTCCAGATAAACGCGATCCAGATAACTCCGCTTCACTTAACCTGCGAGCTGCCGTTTTCGGGCCCGCGCTGTGACGTCACCCGGCTCACAGGTCTCGGCGTTGGTCTCAGACTCCGGTGATTGGCTGGATCCCATGACGTCACAGGCCGGGGCGGCCCTAGGTTCCTAAGGGCCCGGGGATGCTCCGGGTTCGTTTTTTAAAAAGGGGGCAAGTGGAAACAGGAGAGACCGCGGAGCACCGGGTGCCTCCAGCCGTGCTCCGTCCCTCCCCGCCACGCCCACTGCCAACCTCGCCCGGCCGGGCCGCGCCAGCCTCCGGGGCTGCCCGAAAAGGGGCGGGCGGAGAGGCGGAGCTGGGAGGAGCCGGGCGCGGCGCCGCGCAGTCCCTGGCCACCGCCCACCCGGTTACACACAGCATGTAAACAGTCCCCGCCGGGAGGAGCCCCGGGACCGGAGGGAGCCCGAGCCGCCCGGCCCCGCCGCCAGCCCGAGAGCCACAGAGCCGCGCGCTGCCCGTCCCGGAGGAGGGCGCCGGAGGAGAGGAGGGCGGGCGGCGGAGGGAGCGGGAGGCGGGCGGCGCGCGAGGAGGCTGAGGGAGCGGCGGGCGCGGCGGGCCAGGATGGATTTCCAGCAGCTGGCTGACGTTGCGGAGAAATGGTGCTCCAACACGCCCTTCGAGCTCATCGCCACCGAGGAGACCGAGCGCAGGATGGATTTCTACGCCGATCCCGGCGTCTCCTTCTACGTGTTGTGTCCGGACAACGGCTGCGGGGACAATTTTGTGAGTGCTCGGGGGAGGGACCGCCGCAGCGCGCGGGAGTGTGGACGCGCGGCCGCTACCCTGCGCCCCGGCTCACGCTTGCCGGGGAGGCGGTGGGGCATGAGGTGGGGGGGCGTAACCGCTCGCAGGCACCCCCAAGGCTCCGCGCTCCGCCAAGCGAGCCCCTGAGCTTGGCACGTTGGGGTCAGCACTCCGGGTGAGGCCAGTAGGAGGCAGGCAGGGGCATCCTTAGAATCCGGGAAGCTGGGCTAGGGAGGGCAGTTTCCGGGACGCGACCCCGCGGCTCGAGCGCAGTCCTCGGCTAGAGCATCTCCGAGGATTCTCCGCCTAGCGCCAGTCCGGGCCGGGACGCAGGGACCCTTCACTCCCGCAGGATCCGGAGTCCAGAGCTTCCTCCACCCAGGCGTCCCGTCCGGGTGAGGAATCCCGTTACCCTCTCAATGCGCAGACACAACTCCTCGAGTTTCCCCGCCCGAGAGAACCCTCATCCCGACCCCTCTCCCCATGGTATTCTCAGTGGTATTAAGACACAAAGCCTCTGTCCACACTAGCGATGCCCCATCTCCTGGACCATCTTTGCGGAATCACACCCCGGATCTTAAAAAGGCACACGCGCGTGCGCACACAAACACACACACTCACACAGAGGCACGCCTAGCCCCCTTTCCTCTCGTGCTTCCATTGCTCCTCTGTGAGCTTCCAACGAGATGTGTGGAGCCCGAAAGGTTCTGTCCAGCTGAGGCAGCGGCCTGGGCCCTGCCAGAGCCTTTCGATTTTTCCAGATGGGGGTGAAATTCCGCCTCCCTATCCCACCTCCCCGCCCCGCCTCGCCCCGGGCTCGGAGGGACTTGGACCTGAAACTGCGGTGTCCAAATTCTCGACTTCGTATCCTGCCCTCACTTGGGATCTTGGCGCTGGCAGTTAAGGAAGGGGAGGTAGAGGGCCGGGGAATTGGGGTGGGAGGTGCGGAGACTGGGCGAGGATGGCGTTCCATGAAGTATTTGTAAGGACGGGGGAAAAAATAATGGTCCCTACATGTAAGATGGAGGCGGCTATGGGCTCAGGTTACCGGCCTGAGCCTGGAGCTGGCGCTGCTGCCGCCCCTGGGGACGGAGGTGGGGCAGTGCAGAGGCGCGGCCTGGCGCTGGCTCTTCAGGTGGGGTGAGACGAAGCTGGTTCAAAGTCCAGGCTGTCGCGCACCCCAACTGCCACAGAAAGTTCGACGAGGAGTTAGCGTGATTGTCTTTCTTGGCCCCAGAGAGATGAAGTCCTCTATGTGACTTAACATGAAGCATGCCCCTCCCACCACTCCGCTCCACTCCGCAAAGGTGAGAGACTCACCAGGCCCCAGCCTCCTGACCCTCTAGAAGAGGGATAGCCTTGAGTGACAGTCAGATTTGACTTGTGACAGCAGTGACTCTGGTCAAACGCATTTTAATGTTTTAAAATGCTCAGTGTACACATCTGAAAAATGGGTATAACACCAACCCCCAGGTGATCGGATAGATAATGCGCCTGACAGTCTCACCTGCACAGTAAGGGCCCCACAAATTTGGGTCAGAGATCTGGGGTTCCCCAGAGTTTAGAACGTGTCTCTTTAAGAGCCTCAATTTCTTACCTGTAAAATGAGGTTAATCAGAATGCCTTCATCGGAGGTATTTGTAAAGTGCAAGAAAGGTATAAATGTATGTAAGAACACTGTTAAAATAAGTAAGTGTTGCTTGTCAATGTGGAAGATCATTTAAAAAGGGATTTACTCCATAGTAAAAGTATGAATAAGCACCAGGGATGTACTGGAAAGGGCACCAGGATCCAAATAATTGCAGTGTTAGGGTTTGACTAGGAGTCCCTTCCACCCCTGGGCTTCCTTGGTCTGCCAGTGACCTTTCACCCTCCTTACTGTGTGAGATGGGGCAGGAATCACTCATGGCTCCAGAACTCACAGGTCCACACAGCCATCCTGCTGTCACTGCAGGAGACATTTCAAAGAGAATAAGTGGGTGAAGAAAAGCAAGGCTCTTCTTTTGATTTGAATATGTTTAGCAAACCATCATTCAGAAACATGAAGTCTATCTGGCCTTTTTCAAGGCCACTCATATTACATTTTAAAGCTCCACCTGTATGCGTGAAATACTTGGAAGTTTTTCTTTTGAAAGTATTGATTCACTGACAATTAAATGAAATAAATAGGAAAGAAAGAAAGTGGTGGTAGGGGGGAGGGTGCAGGGAGTAACTCGTTGGGCAGACTGGACCTTTTCAGTTTCTAGAGGCCATAATAAACAAGATGCCAAACACTGGAGTTTTCTTAGCCCAAAACCTTGCCTCAGATTTGCAGACCAGGTTTGTCAAGATGCTGTTTGCCTCTAGTTAAAGAAACTCAGACATGAAGAAAATGTCCTACCTCTGTTCATTTCTTTTTCCCAGGAAAATCTGCTAAGTATTAGAAGAAATTTGAGATGAATGGAATCCTTGTAATCTGAAGGATTTGTTAACAATAAGAATATTTACATAGCATTTCTAAGTTTACAAAGTGTTTTTATATCATTCATTCATTTAACAAACATTTATTGAGTGCTCACTCTGTACCTGGCCAGGGCTACTTAGAATGGGGCCATTCTCTTCATCTAAGAAACTGTGGTATAGTGCCTAGGGGCACAGGCTCTAGGGCAGGCTACTCGAGCTTTCACCCCAGCTCCCCACATCTAATTTTGTGCTTTGGAGGAAGTTGTTTAACCCCTCTCTGTCATGACTTCCACATCTGTAAAATAGAGATGATATTAGTACCTCCCTAGCGGACTTGTTTGAGAACAGTACCTAAAGTGGAGATGATATTAACAACTCTCAGGCGGCGTTTCCACATAGCAGTCCCTCTGGATCTATTTAAAATGTTGATAAAACAGCAGGTTGTGTTCTTACCACTCCCTCCCTCTCCTAAACTGACTTCCCATCACTTTTGCAATAAAACCTAAGCTTCCCCGGCTTCAAGCCCCCACATGATCTGCCTCCCGCCGCCTCTCTGACCTCATCTTGGCCCATTCTTCCCCCTTGCTTAGTGTGTTCCTGCCACACTGGCCTTTCTGGTCTTTAGAGAAACCAAGCCCATTCTTGCCTTAGGGCCTTTACGTCTGCTGTTCCCTCTGCCTAAAACACTCTTCCCCCACATCCTTACATAGCTCCTTTCTTTATACCATTGCATCCTGGGAGAAACCTTTCTGACCACATACTCCCTTACTTCACCCTCTTTTATTCTTACCATGGCACTCACTAATACTTGATAGTCCATTGCTTATTTCCTGCCTGGTCCACTAGCCTGTAAGCTTCATGAGAGCTTATCTTATTCATCCCTGTATGGCAGCACTCAGAACATGCCAGACATGTGATAGATATTCAATCCATGTTTGTAAGAATGAATGAATGAATAATAGTCTAGTATAGAAGACATGTTAAATTTCAAGAGTGACAGCTTCAAAGACAGCTACCACTTAAGTGTGAATTACCATGTATCAGATTTTGTATGTATGAACCTATTTAATTTTAGTAATCTCAGAAGCCACTCTCTGTAATTATCTCCACTTTACAGATGAGAAAACTGAAGCCAAGCGAGGTTTACTAACTTCCCTACATCTAATAGATGGTAGCCCTGTACTGAATACCTGGCACCACAAGGATGACAACAGGGGACCCGATTCAGACTTGGGTTCAAGGGCTACTTCTTAGTGAGCCTCACAAAAATTCTGTAAGGTGGGTATTAATATACCCCTATCTTATAGGCGAGGAAACCGAGGCTAGTAACTGTAAGGACTCAGCCAGGACTATGCCAGTAAGAACTGACAGAGTCAGGACTGGAGCCAAAGCCCAGAGGGCTGTCCCCTCCACCATGCAGAAGATCTCCTGGACCGGAGCAGGCTGGGGCCTAGGAACAAGGGCTTCTTTTTGTCTCTCCTCTCTTTGGCAGCTCTGGGCCCCTTGTGAACTCCTTCCCCTGCTTGCTTTACAGGCCATGTGGCCCCTTTGCTAACTGCTGCTCATTCAAGTCTCTCTCTACGGATGGCTGAGGAGTTCAGGTCCTGGGATAAAATGCTGCCAGTGCTCTGTGTGTGCTGGGGTTCAGGGACACGGCTACCCTGCCTGGCTCTTCGGGTGTCACAGGGAGGGTGCCGAGGGCTTAGACAGGCGGCAGGCCCCATCCTCTGCCCGCTCAAAAGGTCCCCAGGGCTCGGTCAGGCTTGAGGAATGGGGCGTTGGCAGCCACTAACATGCCAGACGGACAGAGGGGCACGTGCTCTTGGGCATGGCAGCACCAGCTGCTTTCCCTCCTCGCCTCGTCCTGGAGAAAAGAGCTCTCTGGAAACAAAGCCCACTGCCCAGCCTCTCCCTGCTGCTGACAGTGGGGGTGGGGGTGGGGGCGCTCCCTTATTGTCCTGCCAACCATTCACAACATGTTTGCTTCTACATGTATCGTTTAATCCCTCCTCAATACAAAACAAAGATAGCCGTTGTCATAGTAGTAAAGAAAAATGTTTTATTTATAGAAGAAATATGTGATTTAATTTTGTGTGTGTCCCTATAACTGTGACTTTATATGTATATATATATAGATATAATCCCCATTTTCATTCTAGGCATGTCTCTATTATTAACTGTGTGACTAAATAACAACCTTTTTATTTTGGAGAAAGAGGATACAACTTGTTTGAATGAGGTTGCATCATCATGTTTCCATGGTGGTATAGTGGAGAGAAGGCCCTGTCTTGTTCAATTTAAACCCTATTCTCAGTTTCCTCTTCTGTCTAATGGGTATAATCATACCTATATCACTTTATTTGCAGGTTAAATGAGCAGTAGTGGTAGACTGTAAAGCTTCCTATGGTGGCCATGTACTATTCATCTAGAGAGATTACATCAGGGAAAAAGATACGTCCTTTACCATTCATGGAGTGGTAATCCCAAGGAGAGTAAATTTCTGCTCATATAAACTCAAGTAAGGGGGAGAAGACATA